CACACACACACACACACACACACACACACACACACACGCACACACACACACATGCACACATGCACACAGGGTGTGTGTGCGTGCTTGAGCGCATCTCATTATGTCACTCAGTCTTTTTTTTTTTTTTTTTTTAAGTGCCAGCTTTCCTGCGCTTGAAGTTAACTTGCTAATACACCTCATGATCGGTACAGTATATGCATGTTATATACTACACTGTATATATTATTACTTATCATACATATGTACTCTTCATATTGCATATACAGTCTGCACATACTGTCTCTATCCTCCGTATGTTAATATATTCACTGGAGCTAATATGAAGGTGATATTTTGACGATCTTGCCCGATTGGGAGCTGCACACACCTCTCACCGCAGTGTCGCATTTGTGATGGCACAAACAATCTCGATCAGCTCCGATTAGTCAGTGGAGAGCTAATCGGTGGAATTTTGCTTATCTGGAAATGTAAGCTGTGGAGAGAACAAAAACAAAAAAAAAAAAAAAAAGAACGCGACGTGCGGAATTTTGCAATTATCGTGCCGATTTCAGCATTCACATCTAACTCAATAGAATTTTGTTTCAGTTTGTTCCACAGTGTGATGGACTGTGATTTAACATGGATTTAGAGCTAATTGACAAGCATTTATGATCAACCAACATTTTATTTGTAGTTAACATCACATATTTATCTGGCCTAACAAGAAATCAAATTAATATACAGTATTACCAAGTACAGTATTATTTCGGTTTGCCTACTAACATTATACGAATCAAGGTCATGTCGTCCCCCCTCCCCCCACCCTCATCAGTTTCTTCTCCCGCTCCGGAGCGCCTGCGAAGCTTCTCTGTCTGTTTAGTTTCTTCTCCCAATCCGGCTGTGTTTACGTTCGACGTAGATTGATGCTTCCTGGCCACAACACTCCCGTTTCGCCCCACCTCCAAAAAAAAAAAAAAAAAACATTGACTGCTCGAGGCCTCACCCACGTACCAATCGTACGTCCGTCTTTCCAGGTGGCCCCGGTCATGACGGACCCCCCAGAGCCGGAGCCGGAGCCTCACGACGGGGGACCCTCGCCGGAGCGCGGTGGGCGGGACCGGGAGGGCGGGGTCAGGGTGAACGTGTCGGTGGAAGGGGAGGGCCGACGGAGGAGTGACGATGAAGAGGTGGAAGAGGAGGAGGTCAAAGAGGAAGAAGAGGAGTTGCCGTACCCCTCGCTCGCCCCCGTCGTTCTGTTGGCGCTGTCGCAAACCAGCCCGCCCAGGTCGTGGTGCCTACGAGCCGTATGCCACCCATATCCTTCCGCCTTGTGCGAGGAATTCAATTTCAGCCCAACTTGGCAAAAAGGATTTTCAACTTTCTCGATGATGCCCATGTTGACGTCACTATCGTACGTAGTTGGAGGCGTGTGACATCTTACAACCGCATGTTCGTGCGAAGCCGGGCGACGTCATGTCTTGTCTGGCCATAAACACTCTTGGGATGTGTGTGTGTTCAGGTATTTCCTCAGATGCGTCAGCCTCGGGGAGGGGAGGGTGGGCGGCGGGGGGGCTAAGACTCCCTGATTGGATGTTTCCATGGCAATCGGCCTTAATGAATATCCAGGGTTACGTATGCCTGTCAATGTGGAGCTGAACATTTTTTTGGAGGTCACAAAATGAGAGACTTCGTTTGTGTGTGTGTGTGTGTGTGTGTGTGTTCCCGCGTGAAATGTGAGTGACATAATTGAGTTGTGTTAAATAAATGAAAGCCGAGAAGTACAGTTTGGAAAAAAAAGAAGAAATTCAGGAAAGTAGTGACTCCGCCGTGATGCATTTTTTTAAATTCAGTTTTAAAATAAAAGCATTGAATGTTTACTCGAAGCCCTGATTTGAAACACCTATCTTGGTTTCAAAGTTGAAAATTCTTAAACCATACAAATTTTTGTGACCTTTATCTTGGCTTGAAAACTTATTTTTGAAGCCCAACCGTTACTTGAAGCCACACTTTGAAAACATTACCCTGGTTGAAAAGGCTGTTTTCAGCTTTAAACCGTCATACTTGAAACCAGCCTTGGCTTCAAACCTACATTTGAAACCCTAACCCTGGCTTGAAACCCTACATTGAAACCCTAACGTATATTTGAAACATCAACCCCATTTTTGAACCCTAACTCCCTTCTTGTAAACCTACTTTGAAACCGTCACATTAAGGTGCTTCAAAACCTCATTTCAAACCATGCTTGAAACTCGAATTTTATTTTTTCAACTCCTAACCTGGCTTGAAACTTGAAATTGTAAACAAGGCTTGAAACTGTATCCCTGACCTGAAACCTGACTCTGAAACCATAATCCTGGCTTCAAACCCCAACCTTGACTTTTAACTGTAATTGAAACTCTACACTCACCCGAAGCCCTACATGGACATTGAACTGTCAATTACAGCTGTTCAAGTACTTTTGGATGATAACGTGAGTTATTCCCCTTGTGACACACACACACACACACACACACACACACACACACACACACACACACACACACACACACACACACACACACACACACACGTGGGCAGGGAATCTCCCACGGAGTCTCTCTTCGGAGGAATCACCCGGTTGCCTAGCAACTCTGGCGTGACGGCTTCACTCCTGCTCGCCTGTTTGTGTGCAGCTCAGCCGGCGTACGCACACACTCACTCACACACGCACACGCGCACACACACACACACACACACACACACACACACGTATGCATGCACGCGTGTGTGTATGTACGCATAATCAATATGTGCGCGTGTGTGTACGGTATTTTAAACCCGACTGAAACCATTGACTTTATGTCAAACCCGAGTTTGAAACCCTAACTTGCATTTGAAACCTTACCCAGGCTTGAAACCCAACTTTGAAACTAGTCTTTGCTTCAAGCCCTAATTTGAAACCCTACCTTTTGCTTGCAACTCTAATTTGGAACCACTATTTGGAAACCCGCTAACCTGTTTGAAACCTTAACCCGGGCTTGAAACTCTATTTTTGAACCACAAAGTCCACTTCAAAGCTTAATATGAAACCCTTACTTTGGCATGAAACCCGACTTTATAACTGAAAACCGTGCTTCAAATTTAAATTTAACTAATTAAACTAATCTAACTTTGCTTTGTTTGCTGATCAGAAAAACCCCACCCAGCGGTTGACACCCTACTTTGAAACCTGATACTTCACTTCAAACCATTATTTGAAACCCTATTTTAAACCATCGTTTTCACTTCAGACCAAAATTTGAAACCCAAACAATGGCCTGAAACCACACTTAAAAACCACAAACTTGGTTCCAAACTATCATTTGAAACCCTAACTTTGTCTCTCAAAACTCGATTTGAAACCCTAACCTCCGCTTCAAACACAGCCTCGAAACAATATACAATGCTCCAACTATCATCCATTTTTTTTTCCTGAGGTGCTGTTTCCATGCACTGCTCCACACGTGGAACACACACGCACACACGCATACACACGTGCCTGCACACATACGCTAAGTTATTCATCAGGTTATGAAACATTCAGGGTGTTTCCTTTTGTTTATGCGAAAAGCTGATTCTGTCATGGCTTTTTTCTCGTCGTCCTCCCCTCTCGTTTACCTCTCTCTCTCTCTCTCTCTCTCTCTCTCTCTCTCTCTCTCTCTCTCTCTCTCTCTGTCTCTTTCTCTCTCTCCATCCATCCGTCCGTCCGTCCGTCCATCCGACTTAATTGGCTCGAGCTGAGCGGCTGCCAGTGGTCTTAATGAAGACCCCTCCGTGCCCACGCGGGGTGTCGCTCAAAGTAGGCTGAAGCAGCCAACCCTAGTGTAACCCCCCCCATCAACCTCCCCCCAATTAAGGTGATTGCAGCATGTTGCCGTGGTAACCACTTGACAAGGGTGGTGCCCCCGAATGCAAATTCAAAACCCTAACCCTGGCTTGAAACCATACTTTGATACCTTAACCCAGATTGAAACCCTATTTTGACAACCTAAAATGTGATTCACACCCTATTTTGATTCCCTAAGCCTGACATGAAAGTCTACATTCAAACCCTAACCTTATCCTTGAAACCCTACTCTGTCTGTCTGTCTGTCTGTGTGTGTGTGTGTGTGTGTGTGTGTGTGTGTGTGTGTGTGTGTGTGTGTGTGTGTGTGTGTGTGTGTGTCTGTCTGTCTCCAATACTTTTGCAAAATGTTTGCTTGCTGACTGTCCTTGATTACCCTCACAGGAAACATTTTGTCTGACAAATGGATTCCAGATATGGCTAAAAGTAGAACAAGAAGCTCACAGGTGTCTTTTTAAACTTATTTTCCCTCTTCCTTTTTTTCTGATTTAAAAGTAAAGCGTCTTTTTAATCTTTTTAATATCATGCTATAATCGGATGGTTGTTGCTTGTCCTGAATCATTCCTGCGACACTTGGAAACCCGCTGGGGGATTTCCCACAATGCAATTCTGTCCTATTAATCTCAATTGTCGTAATGTTTTGTTTCTTCGCCCTTGTTATTTTTGGCCAAATAGGTTGGCCCTTTGTGAGGGCTTCTGCATTTGGAAGAACTCATCAAATGTAACTCACTAAGCTGATCTTTAAGATCATGTCTGGGTGACTGACCAAAATTGTCTCATCAGCGCCCCCCGCAGGTTTGGGGGAAAATGCAATCCCCGAGGACAGTTTGACTTACAACATGAAATTTGTCTATCATGAGGAGACTCACAAAAAAGTATCAAGAGGCCATGCTTGAGTAGACAGGACGCCTACCATTTGAGGCTAATTTTGTCTTTTTGCTCTGATAATCTCTCGTCATCGGACATGCAAAAAAGTCAGAAGAAATCACTATCAAAAGACACGTGAAGCCTGAGGTTTTGATGTGGACATTTCTGCTCAGGAGCACCCTTCAGGCCTATTTTGAAAGTTCACTTCACACTAAAGAGCGTGACATTTGGTACGTATATCAATCATGAGTAGACTCATCCCCAAAAAGTCTTGAAAAAAGAGACAGGAAGTCTGCCATTTTGTTTCGAAGCGGCCATCTTGGCTCGCTAACCCCATCCAAAATGTTCCAAAGAATTCACTTCCAGAAGCGAGTTCCAGTGACAAACATACAATTTGTGAGGCGTGTCTATCATGAGCAAACCGACCAAAACATGGTTCAAAACAGCCATATCCAGTTTGGCTTCAAAATCAAATCTTTCCGACGGATGGCCAACCCCAAATGAGGAAACATGAGCATTTTTGTCATCGCGTGTGCGCCGAGTACCGCTGCCAAAATCCCAATCCGCACTGTATCCGTGCAAATGGCCGTCCCTCCCTCGATGCTTTCAAGTGAAACGACGGCTTCACATGAAAAGCTCTTCAGTGCGAGGGTTGCAGCGCAAAGATCACAAAGTGATGCGAGCGGGTTTGATTCATCATGTCTGCCTGACCTTTCCCACCTGTGCCGCCACGGTGGGAGGGCTGTGGAGGGTGGTGGGGGGACGTGGTGGCAAGTTGCGGATGAGGGAGGAGGACAAGTTTCACAGCGAGCGTCAGGAGGCTCCGGGTCTGCTCGGCGACCGCTTAATTACATGGCGGAGACCTTTCGCGTCTGTTTACTCGGCTCGTCTTCCTGGCCGTCTTGACCCCCGTTAATCCCTCCGTAATGTAGAGATGCCATTTTTTTACCCCCCTTGGGCCGCCTGTATCGCCTGCGAGTTTGCTAGCTCATCCGTTCTTCCCTCGGCTTGTTTGTCCGTAAGCTAGGCTCTATATTGGTGGTGTAGCCATTTCATCTCATTGGCTTCTACGGTCGTTAATTTGTTTGTCAGACGCCAAGTAGTTCATCCTTTTTTTTTTTTTTAAGTTGGTTCGTTAATTTGTTGGTCAAACAGGTCGTGAGTGAATTCATCCATTGGGTACCATGCACGCATCAAGCTCCTATCGTGTGGATTGATCAAATCGATTTGAAGAACGCTTTGACTTCCATTCATTGTTTCAAGTTGGCGGCGCAGAAAAAGCGCAAAATGTCAAAATCAGTTTTGATTCGGTTACGGGTTTGGTCTGGAACATCTGTCAGAAAGTCGGTGAAAATTTTGAGGATTGTTGACCAAAATTGTTTGCAAATGTCTTATTTTGAAAAACAAAAACCAGAACAATAAGTCTGCTTTCACTGAGGATGATAGAAATCTGAGAATATTTCCTGCCTAAGCACCGAGACCGAATTTCCAAAGAAAGTTTCGAAAAATCCTGCCAAAAATAATGATCGATTAATTTGACAATCGATTAGTTGTCAATTGATCAATGAATCTTTGCACTTCTAGTTTGACTGGAACGTAATCCAATTTCTTTTACGCATGTCATGAGTACAGAGCAGCAAAATTCACTTCGCGGTTGTCCCACGAGTAGTTTTGGAGTGAAAAATCGGGCCGATGCTCCACTTCGCGAAGTTGGAAATGAATCAATCGTCTCATCTGGTGTCTCTGATTCGGCAATTTGGTGGGATCACCCCCTCGCCTCGCCGCACCTCCCCACCAGTCATACTACAGCGCTTCTTCTACCTTTGCCTTTATCGCCATCCCCTTGCCCTCGGGCTCTCTCTCCAGCGCTGTGACGGTTTTAATTATTAAGGAAAGTCACCGTTTATCTGTTGGCTGACACCCGGCTTTGCGATACGGCTCTCTAACCCGCGGCTGCAGTACGGCGAGGTGCGCCGAGTGAGATGTGAGAAGTTGAAGACGGCGGGGGGGAAACTGTATGGCGACAAAAAAATAAATAAATAAATAAATAAAAGAGCGGAATGGCGAGGAAAGGAAATAATTGGGCCGATCGAGTTAGAGAGAGCGATGGCATGTGTAAAAATGGCGGTGAGAAAGTGCGAGGAGTAGAAGCGGGAGAGGACGTTCCCTGTTGTGATGTTGAGTGATGGTCCCGCTGAGGAAATGAGTCCCCGCCTCATCCATCACTCGCACTTTGACCCTGGCTTCTCTTTTGTAGCTGGGTGTGAATTTGTGTGTGTGTGTGTGTGTGTGTGTGTGTGTGTGTGTGTGTGTGTGTGTGTGTGTGTGTGTGTGTGTGTGTGCGTACTTATTTAATGTGTTTTATAGTGACATACCAACTGTATACTGTAAGTAAGTGCCCCGTTTCTTCCACTGTTGACTGCATGCAGCAACAGACAGCACTCTCAACTGACGCGTTTTTATTTTTTATTATTATTATTATTTTTTTTTTTATGTGGCCACCATGTGGGCGAGTCCTTACTTGAGAAAGTTGATGTCTGGATCTGTTCAAGATAACGTCTTGATCATATCCACCAAGGTGTCTCCTTGTTTAATCGTTCTGCTGCCCTGCATCGGATGACTTGAGAAAATAAAAAAAGGCTTGGCAATTTAGCATCGGCCATCTGTCGAAGACAACTGCTTCCAATTTCCTTGTAGGAATTCGCCAAAGTACAAGAGCTGGAATGCACCTCCGACATGGTTGCTCCAAAGCAAAATGGCCGTCTCTTTTGTTCAGTTCAAATTTGTGCAGCCTGTTATGATTGGCACGTCTGGGAAAGTTGACAGCAGTTGGTAAAACTGGTTTCCGGAGTTGACTTATTTAGTGGGTTTTTTGGGGGGGATTTGAGAAAATTTGGAGTTTTCAGGAATGTGGAACCCCACCAAAACGGAATCGGAATAAATGCCTTCATTCCGAGAGACCCTTTTTTGCTCCGAAGGACATCGCTTCCTTATCGTGGGCGAATGTCTGTTTGTGTGTGTTGACACGCATCCGTTGCGTTGTGGCCCAGACGAAGGCGACGGTGAAACTCACAAGTCAGTTCACACGGTGAGAGATTGGGGGGGGGGCATGTTCCCATGGCAACCTGAGCACAGGATGACACTGGATTACCCTCTCTCTCTCCCTCCGTTCCTCTCTCTCTCTCTCTCCCATTTGTGCTGTCTCTCTAGCTTCGCTCGCTGTGTCTCAAGGGTGATAAAGGATTGTGCTCTCATTAATTTTTTCCGCCCTCTTGAGAGCAAAGTGTCCACAAAGGCGAGCGTGCGTGTGTGCGTGCGCGCGCGCGGGCAATCCAGTGTGTTCTGCATGTGTCCTTGCGCATTCTTGTTTTCCACTCGACACCATTTGGACTCTTTTGGTTGTTCCCCTTCAGTTGTTGTTTTCCCTCCTGCGTTGATGACACTTTGGAGTTGAACTCTTGTCTCCGCTCTGACAGACCGACTTCAAATGTCCCTCACACGCTCGCCCCCATCAAACGCCCGCACGCGCTTCATGCCGGCTGCCTTTGGTAGGCGTGAATATTTATTATAAATATATAAAGGTGTCAGAATGTCTCGTCACGAGTCGCAAAGACTGTGAAGCGGGCAGGTAGGCATGTCTGTCATGAGTAGAACAATTAGATTTTGCTGGAGACGGGCCAACCCCGCCCCCACCCTATTTCCGGGGTATAGGGGCGGGGTCTTTGCTTTACCAGGTATCGAAGATGGACTTTTTCAAAGCTTCACTTCTGAAAAAGTTGATTTTGCTGTCCTCTGGCTTTGATGGACGCGGCTTAACCTTTAGCCGTAGCGTCCCCATGGACTGCTGGGGGAGGGGGTGTGGGGGGGAGTCCTCATTGGCTTGGATATATGGATTGGCGACCAATCAAAAACAGGAAAAAAAAAACGCTGATGAAGTGAGCAGGGGAAGCTTAATGAATGCAGATGCTCGGGAAGCAGGTCAGAGCGGGTCACGGAAGCCTTTGAGGAGTGTGAATAATAATGTGATGAAGCGTCTTTTGCTTCATGCCGTCGCCAAAAATGATCTCCGGCCCGCCGCGCGTTGCAGCTTAGCCAAAACAGACGAGTCGGAACGGCGGCGGAATCGACGCTTTGATGCCGAAATTCAGCAGAGCGCGTCGCCTCCGCCGAGGAATTCTGTTTGCCAGCTCAAGCAAAAGAGACTTGGTTGATTGAGGACAGGTTTCAATCAAACTTCCTTTTTGTGTGTCTGCCCCCCCCGCCCCCACCAAAAAAAAAAAAAAAAAATTGGTGGACATGAATTTTAGTGGCTAAATTCAGGTTTAGCCAGGCTTAAGTTAACTTGCAATAACTATGCTCCTTTATTTTTAAATTTGATTTCATTCTTTTTTTTTAGGTGGGTGAATCATAGTACTAGATGTTATTGATCAGAAAATTTCATTCGTTTTCATTTGATTCGATGATGATTGACAGGGGAAGTCATAAACATTTTCTTTGCAATATTATGTTGTATGAGGCTTCACGAGTCGAAACTCGGCATTCTGATGCATGTTGCGTTTGTGGAATAGGAGTCAAGCAGCAAAATCCATTCGTGGTTTTTTTAGCGCTCTCACCGGGTGGCCATTTCGCCACTTTCTACTTGCTGAAAATAACCTCATGGGTGCTCAGGGCTCAGGGAACGACCAATCATGGCTCACCTCTTTTTGCTGCAGCTGTTCGTTAAATTTACGATGTAATTGATTTTCCGATTGATTTTATTGCTCATGTTTATCGTCCAGAACTTTTCCTCCATCGCAGACAAGTAGAAAGCGCTTTCAAACAGCCACCGCTGCATGCAAAGTGCATGGAGCAAAAATTTGTCAGACACGATAGTTACGACAATACATTAATGACATAATAATAGTAGACACTATAAAACTATGGCGAGTGAAAATCAATTTCCTGTTCTATGGTTATCGTCACCGTCCGCCGTTGTTTCCGATCAGGCCCAAAGAGAAAGACGGGCTTCAGTCATCACGATGTTATTGTTTTTTCCTCGTTGCTGTGATCAATATTGCGTCGGTTTGTCTTAATTGTTGTGGTCGGCGTTGTTGCCGCTTCCCCCTCTTTGTCGTGATCAATACTGTATTGCAATTGTGACCCTTGACCTTTTCGCCACCTGGTTTGAGCGCATCAGTATCTTGGCCATCCTGCTCAACTGCGTGACTCTGGGAATGTTTCAGCCCTGCGATGACACACACTTCCTGTTGCAGGTAACACACATACAAACACGCACACACACACCAGTTAAAAAAAAAAAAAATTGGTAGGCATGTCGATCATGACTAGATCCACAAAAAGTCTCCAGTAAACATGGCCCAAAAAGCCGTTTTGGCATGAAATGTCCATTTTAGGTTTGTTTTGTCATTTTCCAGCAGTCCTTCAGACTCCAGCTTACCACACAGAGTTTGTCCAATTCAAACCATGTAGACGAGACAGGCAGGTGATGCAAAATCTTGAATTACATTTTCTTCCAAGTCCGTAGACCAAACACTCGCTTCACCTCAAAATGACAAACTATGTCTCGCTGTGAGACTTTATTATCGAAACAATTTTTAGCTTCCTCCTCTTCATCTACCCACACTGATCCTTTGCGTGTGTTTTCGTGTCTTTTTGTTGTTGTTTTGTGTTTTGTGCGTGTACGCAGGCACTGGACGACGGCATCTTTGTATTTTTTGCCGGGGAGATGCTGGTCAAGATGGTGGCTCTGGGGATCATCGGCCACAACGGTTACCTAGGAGACACGTGGAACCGACTGGACTTCTTCATTGTCATCGTGGGGTGAGTTTTTGACACTTGCGGACGCGTGCACCGCTGACATTAAATATGAGCCAAAAATGTGTGTGCATGTGTGCGCATGTGTGCGTGCGTAGACACTTGTTTAATGCCAGTAAAATGTCAAGCATGCGTGTGTGTGTGTGTGTGTGTGTGTGTGTGTGTGTGTGTGTGTGTGTGTGCGTGTTTGTGTGTTAGCGTCTGACAGCTTTGCAGAATGGCAATGGGAAACACGGAGTCCTGGAAGGCCTCCGTGATTCCCCGCTAAAAGCCATTGTCGTATCCCAGAGACAGGACGGCGCCTTCTGTTGCGTTCCCGGTGGACCTGACGGGTCAGCGCTCTCTTCCTCCCCCCCTGCAGGATGTTGGAGTACTCGCTGGACGGACACAACATTAGCCTGTCGGCAATTCGCACCGTGCGCGTCCTACGGCCGCTCAGGGCCATCAACAGGGTTCCCAGTGAGTTCTTCAGTTTTTCGTTGCAAGAAGCTTTTTTTTTTTTCCATTTGCATGTCAAATATTTGCATCACAGCACTTCAGTGCCAGGCTCCGCCCACACAGTTGGCCTGAAGATTGTTGCTTCAAACAAAATGGCAGATTTGCTTATGGTATGGCTTTGTTTTTTTTTGGGTGACCTCGTGATCGATCAGCCTTCCAAATTTCATGTTGCTAAATGAAGCTGGCTTTGGGGGCTGAATTATATTTTTTTGTTGTTGTTGTTCTGGTAGGTGGTACCGAGCCACAATGTGAGCTTCAAACAAGATTGCCACCCTTTGTCTTTTCGGACATGGCTTCTTGAGACCTTTTTGTACATAATGTCACGATAGACATGCCTACCAAATTTCACGTGGCTAAAAGACACTTGCTCTGGGGGCTGAATTAAAACAAACACAAAAAATGTTTTTGCAAGCGTTATTGAGCCAATATGGCTGTTTGAACCAAAACTGCAAACTTGCTGTTTTTTTTTCTGAGTCTGACTTCTGATCGTTTTTTTTTTTTTTTTTTTTTTTGTGGGCCGACTCATGATAGCCTTGTTTTTTAAATATCAGATTCTTAAGTCAAACTTTTTTTTGGGGGGGGGTGGGCAGAATTCTTTTCAAAATTCAGGGGGGCACAATTCAGCCAAAATAGATACTTTGAGCCAAAATGGCTAACTTCCTGCATGTTTTTGGGCACGGTTGCCTGTAACTTTTTTGTACATGTTGCTCATGGAACTGGCTTCATGGGCCCAATCTTCAATTTCTTTTTCGGGGGGCTCTCCAGAGCCATAATGACTACTTCCAAATGGCAGACTTTGGGGATCGGTTCCTGAGACTTTTTGGCGGGTCGACTCATCACTGAAATGCCTACCAAATTTCAGGGAATTTTGCCTCAGTGGTGGAAGTGTTTTGAGTGTTCTGGGTCTTCCCTTGATAGAGATGCGTACCGCATTTCATGTTGCTTTGTGAAACTGGCTTCAAGGGCTGGATTTTATTAGATTTTTCTCAATAACGGGGCCACTACTGCGACAAATTTTGTGGGCAGGGTCGGGGTTGCCCCAAGATTCTCCCCCAAATGTAAATTTTCATGTTGATGAACAAGGCTGGTGAGATTCTGTGTCTGAGAAAGCCCTCAAAATAGCCTCACAAAGGACAAAAAACAAAACAAAACATTTGAACACATTTTCAAGCTACGCAAAGAGCCTCTTAATCATTTATTAAAAGAGAAATGCATTATTAATGTTCCATGTTCCAATTAGTAGCAGGCGCCTTGTAAAGGCCGAAAATCCGTCACCAGCATCGGGACGGCAGGAAACCAGCGACAAAGCAATTAGCCGCTGCAAACACAATGTGAAATTCTTATTTTTATTTGGGGATGATTCCCAAACATTCCAAGATGGAATTTTGGGGCGGGAATTTGCGGCTAACGTTTTCGCCAGCTTGCCTAGCGGCCATCCAACCACGCAATTCTCATTTGCTCCGTCATATGTCATATGTAAGCATATTTGACAATAACGATGACCTTGACCTTGACCTTGACCACGTAGCTCACCGGGTCAGCCCCATCGTTTGAAGGCACGCACACATCCAACGTCGCGGATTGTACGGTGGAGAATGTGAGGGGAAAAAAAAATAAAATTTGGTTGACTTCTTGTGTGTGTGTTGTCAGGCATGCGCATCCTGGTCACCCTGCTGCTGGACACGCTTCCCATGCTGGGCAACGTGTTGGCGCTGTGCTTCTTCGTCTTCTTCATCTTTGGCATCGTTGGCGTGCAGCTTTGGGCGGGGCTCCTGAGGAACCGCTGCTTCATGGGGGAGGACGTCAAGACGTGAGTTACCGCGGCGACCGCGACCCATCCACGCCAGCCCCTTATTTGGCTCCGTTCGCTCGTTGCCGTCGTCGGCGTCATCAATAAAGTGTTGAAATGTTTCCCCCCGGGGTGCACACCCTGATTAAACGGCGCGCTAATCACCAATCAAAAGTATTGGTCAGCGAAGTGATTGGTATCGTGATTGGGCTTCTTTTTATGATTTTTTTTTTTTAATTGTTTTAATTTTGACCAACACAGTCGATGACAAATAAGGGTGCGCGAGGAATATTTTTATTTTCATTTAAGTTAACTTTTTAATAACATTTATTGTATTTTATTTTAGTTGCAATGGCAGGGGACATTGTTGGTCGCAATTTTGCACATTTTAAACAAAGAATTCTGTAAATAATTTTCATAATATATTGAACCTTATTCTTGTAACATGTATTTTTGTAAAAGTGTCTTTTTTTCTTGCAATCCTGTGCTTTTTTTTTTTTACTCAAGCAAACTGATCATATGATCACTTTATTCTTGTAACGTTGCGATTTTACCTTTGACACAGACTTTTTTCCACACGACACTTGTTTTTGCGAATTATTATTCTTTCCCCTAAAAAAAAAAATCTCATACCATATTCCAAATGACTTATTTCTATTACAACAAATTCTTGTAATGTTCTGACTAATTTTGAAACATGCTGACTCAATTTTCATAATTGCCACGTCATTCTTGTAACTTGGCTACTTTTCTTTTTACAACATGATGCTCTTTTTGTCTTCATTGACCACTTCTCTCTTAACAATATTGCGATTTAATATGCAGTTATTTAAAACATTTTTACATTTCAGATCTAAGCACATTGGGGGATTTTTTTACAATTAAATTGCAGCTTGAATTTTTTTCCCCTCCCCCACTTTTGGCTGTTGCGAGTACACTTGCACTGCACATCCAAGTGGGGCAGTGACCCACCAGAGCCATTTTTCATTTGCTTATTTTCGTTTTCTTAGTTTTCACCATTCAGCACAAAAAAGGTTCTTCATGTTCACCAAAAAATAACGTTGCAGATTCAAGTCCGTCTTCATTGGGGCCAAGCAGGGCATTGCCCCACCCGGTCACTTGGTTAGTTAGTCATCAAGACTACACGACACACACAAAATCATTCAAAAAAAAAAAAGCATTCACATCATTTTGCGAACTTTTCACCTTGTCATTTCAATGCATCTTCACATGACTCAAATACTTGCAGGGAGAACGATGATGAAAAACGACAACAGGGACAAAGATTGCGCCGGTGTCAAGAGAGTGAACGTCATTTAGCGGACTCAGTGGTCCGCGTTTCACTTCATTGATGACTGCGTTTATTCTCGCGGCACCCGAACGACTTTTCAACGCCTCGCCACCATGAATGATTGATTCCTCATCTTTTCTACATGTTGCTCTGGTCTGCCCCTTTGTCCAGAAACACAAAGCGCACAAAGTCATCTGTCACGGCGGAAGCGCTCAGTTATTGCGTGCTCTGCTTTCTTCTTGTTACACCAGTGCGCCATTAATCCCGCTAACAAGTGTTGTGGATGTGGAGTGTGTCTGGCTGTGCGCTTACCATTGTTGTTTCGCTTAAATTGTCTATTTTTAATCCAGCCCGCATGGCAGTGGGGGGGGCGGGGGTGGAACACTGCTGACTGTGAACATCCGTCTCGGAATAGCGCGGCGAGAAGAGGCAATTTCATGAATCTTCTTCTTTTTTTTTTTTTTTTTTTTTTTGAAAGAATATCCTTCCAGCTTCCGCACGTTATTTTGGCACTTTTGTGATATGGCGGGCTTCTTGCAAAGGGGCCAAATGGACCTGTCCCCCCCTCGCCACGCCCCCTGCTGCGGCTAGACGGTCAGATAATTCCTTCAATGACCACACGCCTTGATGTTTCTTGCTATTTATCCAACTTTGAGGAGAGTCGAGAAGATGTAAAACTGTAACAGACACACATAAAAACACTTACACGTTGTTGCAAAGTAAAACGTGGTAAAACAATGTGCCCCACTGGTCTGATACATGCCGAACGCGTGACTATGCTAGTGTTGCTAACAGCTACACTTATCGCTATCGGAAATGCTAACTGTAAATAATCGCAAATGTCTTTCAAAATGTAAATTCACAGTGAACGCACCCTACTAATGAATAATATGGCGAAAATTTACATAATATACACCTACAGGCTGTGCTCGGCTTAGGACGTGAAACAGGAAGTGTCTCACACAACAACATCCGGTGCGCCATTCGCAATAACAAATTGATTTTACAAAACAAAGCAGCTCTGTAACTATAGAAACAGAAAACAAATGTTACATGGCTCGTCAGGAGCCAGAATAGATCCATTTTTTTATTTTGTTGGCCCATCAGGATTCTTCTACCAGTTGCTGTGTCATTGATGTCGTCTGGTGTTCACAACTCAAATTTGTGCTCTCAACTCAAGATGAGAAATTTCCCCCCTTGTAACCCGAAAAATCTCCCGAGTCTGGTCATTTGTAAGTCGAGGTACTGCTGTATTTGGTGTTGTTAATTATTTAGTCAATCAAATGAATTTCACACCAAAAAACAACCAGTTGGGAAATGATTTTCTCAATAAGAACAACTTTGTTTCGAATGCGGTCCACTTACACCGGGGCCAACGTGCCGTCACATCTGTCATTTCATTCGTTTGCCGACTCGCTCGTTATCAGTGTTACACACCCCAAAATATTTTCTTGGATTTTCACAGCAAAAGCAAGGAACTCATTTTCACTTTTTGGGCGTTACGGCTCGCTAGCATCGGGGGGCCAAATCGGGCAAGGCCCCACTAGATCTGTGACTACATTTTGTCTCCTCATATATTTTGCCGGTTTGTTTGTTATTGAATCACGCACCCAAAACACTTTTGTTTTTTTTTTTAGGATTTCCAAATTTCACTTTGTGAGTTTGCAATCGGATTTACGATCAATTCGTCTTCCAGGAGGTACAACGTCTCTTTCCTGAGCGTTTACTACCGTCCGGGCGGCACGGAGGACCACCCGTTCATCTGCTCGGCAGAGCGAGACAACGGCATGCTGCGCTGCGCCGACGTGCCCCGCCGGCGCGTGGCCGGGACGTCCTGCTTCCTGGCGGCCGAGGACACCCGTCCCGAGAGGGCGGCGGCGGCGGCGGCAGGAGACGGGACGTCATGTGTCAACTGGTACCAGTACTACAACGAGTGTCGCGCCGGCGAGTTGAACCCGCACAAGGGAGCGATCAACTTTGATAACATTGGATATGCGTGGATTGCCATTTTTCAGGTGATGATGGGATGCGCTCGTGTCTTATTTGGAATATGAGCATATTGACGGACTTTAACCCTTTTCGTGCGCCCTGTAACCTGATAACGTGATAAGCGGTCCACTGTAGTAACCGCTGTCCCTGAAAGGGTTAATGTGAGTAAACTAATAAGTATGACATCGCAAGACATGTTCATTTTCTGGGCATTATAAATTACACATAACATAAATGTGTGAAAGATGCTGTGAAAGAAATTAATACTCAGCGTGTTTCTCATTTTTGTGTATGTAATGTGAGCAAATTGGCTTAAATTGCTTCATTGGGAGCACGAAAATAATTTATGTCGTCATCTGTTTTGTCGTCTGTCAAATTTTTCAGGCGATTGTCTTTTTTTTGTTTGTTTGTTTATACCGGTAGCGAGTCGCTTGAAATGATTGTTAAGAGTAAATATCTTTGTTTTCAATTATAAAAAAAAAAATCCACAGGTTACTTGAAATACTCTATTTAGTGATTCATTTATTTAGTTGAATTAAAAAAATATATGTTTTTTATCTTTACCTGGCTGCCCCTAAAATATTAAACAGTTACGATGGCCTATAGTCACATTTCATTTTGTTTCGTAATATTTAATTATCAGGCACGAAATATGTTTCTTTGCCCTTCTTAAACATGGACAATCGATTCTACTACTGACATTGTGTGTGTGTGTGTGTGTGTGTGTGTGTGTGTGTGTGTGTGTATGCGTGCGCTCTGACAGGTAATTACTCTGGAAGGCTGGGTGGACATTATGTATTACGTCATGGATGCCCACTCTTTCTACAACTTCATCTACTTCATCTTCCTCATTATCGTAAGAACACACACAGACATGCACGCACGCACACACACTATCTGCAGATCCTTGAGACGTCAAGTATCTGACAAGCTTAACGTGTCGCCGGGGTCTACTTTATGCGGCGTAAGCTCATTGCCGCCGCTGCCTGTCACATTAGACAAAGGAAGCTTAGTAATGCGCGACGTGCTTTGATGTCTTATGCCAAGTCTTGAGCTGTTCCGAGCAGACCCGAGCGATGCGCAACAAGAAATGGAAAAAAAAAAAAGAAGAAAAAAAGATGTACATGGTACCTCAACTTACGAACGACTCTCCATACGAAATGTCCAAGTTACGAACCGCCTCAACAAGGAAATATTGCCTCTTGTTACGAAAAAAATTGAAAGATACAAAAGGTAAAAATACACTCTGAGTTGCGAGTACCTGAACGCAACATACTTCCAGCTTCTCTGCCATTGGCTATTAGTGAGCATCATCCTGGCATCCCATTGGCTAAGACAGACCTCTACCGAATATGTCTGCGTCTAGATAGATAAATAGATCGATATGTGTCTATGGAGCGTCATCGTCATTCTCCCCTCGGGCAATGAGGCGTTCCGATAGTTTGACGTGAATGTGAATCACCCAGAAAAAGATCACCAGTCGTACAGTCGCTCACTATGCTGATGTTTGCCTTGGACATTTTCAAAGGATTGTTAAAAGTCGTACTCGGATCAGTTCTTGACAAAACGGCAGGCAAAAACCTCTTCTGAGACAGAACATGAACTACTGAGGGCAAAAAACGATGAGGACGCAGTTAAAAGTTAAATGACCATCATTTTTATTATTTATTCTTTGTTTTTTTTTAATATGATACCCAACTCTGATTTATTGTGCAATAATCGAAGTCTAACATGTATTTGTTCCATATTTTGATGCATTTTTATGCTTCATAAAACATTTGTGTCTGAATTTTGGGGGCCTTGGAACGGATTCGGGCATTTACATGGAAAACGCGCCTCCGTTCACAAAATCTTCTCGTTAAGAAAATTCTTCCGAACCAATTAATTCAGAAGTAGAGGTATCACTGTATTCAGGATCTTTTTTTCCACTTTGGGTCGTTACTGTCTGCTTGCATTTTACTGCTCAGGTAGGCAGTGATTTCCTTTTAAACAACTTCATAAACTCTTGTGTTTATTTTTCCGTTTCATTCATTTTTGTTGCAGTTGCTCATCATGGGAGTGCGTGCGTATGCGTGTGTCCGCGGTAACGGGTCAAAAAATTAAATCCCAGTCCAGATCCTTCCAGTGCCAACGGGCATTTGACACAAGCACGTGTCGAGCGCAATATGTAGCGCACTGGACTACAGCAACAAACGGGAGAGTAGCAGCGCAGTAACTGCAACGGAGATTGGGAAGCGGTTCGGCCCAGGTCATGTCATGTGCCCGAAGCGGTAGAGAGCAGGACTCGGAAACTCACACTTTGCCGTCGCCGTAGCAAAACCACACAACGGCCACGGGGACAGGCAAACATATGCTCGGGCACGACGCATTTGTCTCCCAAGTGTCCATTTGTCCCTCTCAGGTGGGCTCCTTTTTCATGATCAACCTGTGCCTGGTGGTCATCGCCACCCAGTTCTCGGAGACCAAGCAGCGCGAGCACGCCCTGATGAAGTCGGAGCAGCGCGCCCGCCAACTCCACCAGTCGGCGTCCACGCTGGCCAGTGACAGCCAGCCCGGCAGCTGCTACGAGGAGATTATCCGCTACCTGGCGCACTTGGGCCGCAAGGCGTGCCGCCGCCTGTCCCGGTTGCTGGCCCTGAGGCCGAGATGAACGGGCTGGCGCACCGGCATTCCGGTCACGTCACGGGTGATCTGTCGCACCTTCGTGAAATGTATCGTCAGCGACACCCGCCGCCGCCGCCGCCACGAGCGGAATGTCGGCTGAGTAACGGAGGTTTTAATTACCCCGTCATATCACCTCTCCACGCTCACCCGGATGCAAAGGGTCCGCATCACAAGAGAGGCGGCGCCGCGGAGGCCGGCAACAGGCTGCCGCAGCTCGTCCTGGAACACGGTGAGATGACTTCGACAATCGGTTGGTCACAGAGCAACGATTCTTTGTAAAGTTTTCTGGTGAAGGAGGGTTGGTTGGTAGCGGTCCGCTTGCGTTGGGGCCAGATGACCCATGAGATTCATCACCCCTCCCCCCCACACCCCCACGTGAAGGGAGTACTTTATGACCAAGCAAACTTTTTGTTACAGTCCACTTGCAGTGGGGGCAGTGACCAACCAGATGCCTTCAATGATAACCCTTCAAGTTTTTTTTAATTTTTTTATCAACATTTCTTTATTCTCTCTATCTCTATCTATATTGTATCTATTCCATTCTAGTCTGGATCCGTGTAAAGGTCGCAATTCAAGCTGTCGATTGAGCTCGTTGTCGTGACAGTTTCCTTGCATCCTTGCAATCAGGCCAGCGCGGGGGCAGCGACCCACCAGAGGCGAAAATGCAAGGTTTGGTTTTGATGTCAACGCATCGGTCGAATGAAAACGGTTCGGGTTCACGTGCAGAGCCGCACGATGCTGGAACGCTTTCCCTTTCACTTTTTAGCGTTACAGTCTGCTTGCATCGGGGGGCCGGTTGGGGCACCGCATTTATGTATTCATTATTAAAATAAGATTTTGACAGTACTCATGAATGCGTTGACCGAGAAGACAATTTTGGTGAGTCGCTGGCTTACGGAGGGCATCGACACAGCAAATGCACCCAGACCCAAGACATAAGCTTACTTTATTTTTTAATGTTTATTTCATGACATCTTCAAGCAGAATATGCAACTTTAGTGGCTTATGCTACAATGGCCACTAATTAACAGCACTTAAAATCGTCCTGGTGTATCCCAATAAGAAAATAACCTAAAGTCGTAGCCATGAAAATGTTTGCCTGTGACCTCCATTACTCCGACAATCAATAAAAGATGAGCGTCTCCATTTGGCGTCCCGTCTACAAGATGATATCAAATGAATATAAACTGCATTGTCGCCCTTGCTCATTGGTTTAAAGGAAAGTCGTTGGGAAGCAAACGGTGCGCGACAGGATCCGAGGCGGGACATCCTCCAATTGGAGGTTTTTATTGTTGCACGCAGTTGTCATACGCAAAGCGGATTTTAGTATCAAATACATAACTGGAGAAGCCACAAAAACTCCGATGAAGTAGAATGACTTTTCATCTCAATCAATACTTATGACTGTTTGTCCTTTTTGGGACTGTTGTTGTCAATATCAAAGACTGTTTGGTACTCATGGACCACAAAGCGTACAACCGTTTTCAATCTTCGGTCAACCAAGTCGACTTGTTTTTGTCCAAAATGGATCCCGGAACTAAATTTTCGTCTTCAGTGTAACTTGCGTGTCAAATATTTTTTTGTTCAAACAGTTTAGGGCAGGGGTGGCCAACCCGCGACTCGCGAGCTGCATATGCGGCTCTTTGGCCGGTTCAATGCGGCTCCCGGGCTTTCACACGACGAGCGTCCAAAACACCTCAGCAGTGGCGTTGCCATTCAAACAAAGGCGCTAAATACATAGAACGCGCTACGTCAACCTATCATCAATCCTGTGACTTGATTGACATAGAGCGCAACCAATCAGATGACTGAATCACCGTTCATGCCCAAACAACGCCGCTAAGCTAGTCAGCGAATTACCTCTCTCTCTCTCTCTCTCTCTCTCTCTACATCTATATGTGTATATACTTTATATATATAGATATATATATCTATATATATAAGTGAACATATGCGTTTTCATCAACATCGACAAAGACAGGTTAGCCCTCAATCAACCTTGCACATGTTTTTTTTGTTTTTTTAATTTAAGAATCATCAATGACCCGTAGCATTTGTGTTTTCAATAAAATCCAACACAACTTTTAGTCTTAGGTCAATTTTGTGTATTTAAAAAAGTATAGGCCGGTTCAATGCGGCTCCCGGGCTTCCACACAACGAGCGTCCAAAACACCTCGGCAGTGGCGTTGCCATTCAAACAAAGGCGCTAAATACATAGAACGCACTACATTTAAGAATCATCAATGACCCGTAGCATTTGTGTTTTCCATAAAATCCAACACAACTTTTAGTCTTAGGTCAATTTTGTGTATTTAAAAAAGTATAGATATTTTACATTTTTTAGGGGGTCATGGGGGGGGGGCTTTAGATAGTCAACGTCCTGAGTGAACCATCGTGTGCTTTTGAAGTCGTCAAAGACTATTTATACTGCAGTAAACCTAAGAGTCGATATGTGTTTTCGAAAACATCAGTCAGTGAAACGAGCGAAGACAATTTCTAATCTTCCGTGAAGCTCGCATCCCGCACACGTTTCCATAAACATCAAAGACAATTTGGAGTGATCCGTGAACCCGGCGTAAGCGGAGGCATTTCATTGCGATCGACGCCCCCGGGCAGGAAGTTTCCACATCTTGTCGAGTGTACGTACAGTTGCACATGATGGAGTGACTTGATTGGATTGAGCTCGTCGGCGCTCTTCGGGAAACGCCACCCGGCGGTCACGACGCCGAAGAAGGCGCCAAGAGAAGCGCTTGTGCTAGATGACTCGTTGAAATTTTTTTTTTTTTTTTGGTCACAGCAGCGTTTTCCTTTTCTTTTTCTCGCCTCGAGCTACTCGCTAATGACTGTGCAAGAATATGCCGTGCACACACGCATGCACGCTCACTCGTCTCATAAAAGACACTTCCCCCCCCCACCCCCAAGCCCACCTTGCACAAAGAATACCAACAGCAGCTTCCATGTCCTTGTCTTTTGTTGTTGTTGTTGTGCACGACTTCCAAACAGAGACCGGAAGAAGTTCTACCTAAAGACAAAATATTCACTTTAATCGCAAACGCAAGGTTTCAGTGAAACTGGCAAGATTGGGAATCAGTCTTTCGTAACCGGACTATCATTTAGACGTCAACCCAGCGGATGCGGTTTTGTGACCATCAAATTGGTTTTACAAACTTGACTGAACGTCACATCGGTTTTTCAGAAACGTCAATGGCGACTTTGAGTCCTGGGGTCACCGTAGCGTATGCGGATTTGTATCGATGAAAGTTTTCAATGATTTCTGAATCCAAAAAGACAATTTGGAGTCTTTTGTGAACCGAGTAGACATGTTTTGCTTCGGACAATTTTCATCCTTCAATCACCCTGAATTTTTTTTGTACCTACATACTGACTTACTGCTTTTGTAAAAGCCAAAGTTAATTTGGAGTCTTCGACATGACACGCGCAAGAGCATAAAAATCAAACGTTATAATTTAGAGGATGCATTTTTGGAAACATCAAAGTTTGTAGTTTTCGGTACACCTAATGTGTTTTCGTAAGGACAATTTATAGCCTTCAATGACCTGCATGCATGATTATTATTTATTTATTTATTGCCGGAAATATATCAAACCTTACGCCATCGCGGGTCCCTAATTCGCGTGCCACTATTTTGCAGATTTTATTTTGTGCATTGTTTTTGTAAGCCTAATATGTTTCATAATCCCGACGTGCGCATTTTTGCAAACAAAAAACATCAAAGACAAGCGAAAAGGACTTATTTATGTCAACGTCAAAGGTACGACTGACAGTTGTGCTTTTGTGTGCAGGCGGTTGCGCGGCCCACCCGGCGCTACCCTTGCCAGGCGAGGTCCCTGTGGAGTCGTCGCCCTGTCCGTACTGCAGCTACTACAACCCAGTGCGTGACCCCCAAATCCAGGCAGCGGACGGGGATCATCGTCATCAGCAGCAGCAGCAGCAGCGAGGCCCCGTCAGCAGTCCCCCGCCGCCACTGCAGCCCCCTTGCAAGAGCCCCACCCCCCGCCCGGGCGAGAGACACGCCGCCCGGCCCGTGTGGCGGGCGTGCGCTCGATGCTGGGCGGAACTCAGGGGCAAACTTGAGCTCATCGTGGGCAGCAGATACTTCAACAGAGGCATCATGATTGCAATTCTGATCAACACGCTGTCCATGGGAATCGAGTATCACGAACAGGTATGAGCGTGCATGTGATGCCGACGTCTCGGTCGTTTTCGCCCCAAATCTTTGGCGAACACCATTGTTCCAGGATCTCAAGTCATGTTGGATGACAAAAGAGGCTCAAGAAAATGTGAACAAGTGAAGCGGTAATCTTTTGAGGCTAATGCTTTTTGTGTGACTCCGAAACGGGATCTTTTTCTGGAAACATTTGCTTAAAAACAACCATCTTGAACGTTTTTGCACCATGGACTGTGAGTTGTCACAAAAATACCCAAAAAAATCCTCACAGTTTCTACATCGTGAGCAAAACGTATTCATAACGGATTATGGCCAAAAAAACGAAATGTTTCCGGTTTGATGTTGTCCTTTTATAGAATTCACAATTTATTCTAACATAACATAGGCGATCCACTTCCCCGATCGGAACGATCGCATCCATGCGTTGCCGTTTGCACATGAGCAAATGACAGACGCCTCCCTCGGTCACGCCTTCGGTCTCGACGATCTGTGATTGGCTTGATTTATTCACGCCATGGGGACACCCAAAAAATGGACGCGCTAATGACGTGCGTGCGGGATTCGTTGAAACGCACACGGCAATCAACACTTGCTTCTGCGACTCACACGCACACGATCTCTCCGCCGAGTGTGTCTGCCTTGCGCGTGCGTGGCGCGTGTGCAGCTCATAAGACCTGAAGTGTTAATTAAAGTGTGACCCTTGGACAAAAGTGAGTGAGAGAGCGAGCGAGCGAGAGAAGGAGGGAGACGAGCGAGAATGAGACAGTCGAAGTGGAGCCAGCGAAGGCTTCATGATTTGCTGAGGGAAGATTGCCTTTTTGGCCTATTTACTCAACTGTAAGACACATCGCGGAGTTGTCATCTCATCAGAGCCTGCCAAGGAAATACACACCACTCGGACTGTTTTATTAAGTACCGGCGTGAAAAAGGTCAAAGACGACGCAAAGCGGGTTCCGTGTTAATCATTTAATGCAGAAGGCCCACGAGGTCTCACCTGAGTTTGTGGAGGTTTTCTTTTCGACACGATATCTTTGGTTAACGGCAGTATTCCGGAGGGCTCTGCATCGCTCCACTAAAAGATGATACATACAAATTTAAAAAAAATTAAAAAAAGATGACTTGCTAGGTATGCAAAAACCAAGGAAAGGGCAAAGGCCAAATTCTCTGGGACCCTCCACATCCTGTTCACCACCTTCTGCACCTCCTTTCTTATTTGTGTAAATGTCGCTGGGCAATATTTCCAAGTGCTGAAGGATTTTTCGCATCAATGCACATGCAAAGTGCCCGAAGAGCGGCGGAGCTCTCCGTATCGTTTGCTCAGCCGTCAATGGTCGGTGCTGCAGCACGAATGGCACAATTAGATTCCCTTAAAGATGTCCTCTGTTTCTCATTGCTGTTTGTTGCTGCAATACGAGTGTCGCGCATACTACAGGAGACGGTGGCAGGTCGTTGCCGATTCCGATATTTCGCACAATATGATTGAGATAACTGGTTAATCAGCTGATTAATTGAATGACTGGGGCTGATATTTGCCTATGCCTAATTTGCTTTGTCGGTCTGGCCCTCGTCTCCAATTATAGGGACGGTACCTTTTTGAACAATTCCTTTGCGTCAATGCAGCTTTGCTGTTTTGACAGCTTCCATGCTGCACTGTACTCCACTCGTTTCTTCATTTCATCGCACGTGACCTCGCTGTCAGTGTTCCGCTTAGTCCGGAACACAGGCATCTCCGGAGAACATCTGCGCCGCTGCCAGATGTCACACGCGCACACACGTGCGCTCTAATAAATAAACGTCACCTCCTTCCATGTTGCGTCTCCTGCCTGTAGCACAACTGCTGTTTCCTTCTCGATGGACTCGATACAGTACATAAGATAAGATAAGAAAACCTTGATTTGTCTCACAATGGGGAAATTCCTAATTTACAACAGCAAAATTATGAAAAGGGAGAAAGTAGAAGAAACTTCAGGTTAAAGTTAAGAGTTGAAATGTGAAATTTATTTCTGTTGTACAAATTGAAATTATGCAAATGGCATTCTGTCCAGATAAAATTAATTGAATCCCAGCTCCCAGTTAACTCCCAATTAATTCCTCTGCTTGCGCATACCTTTACATGCACCAAATTTACGAATTTGTGTGTGTGTGTGTGTGTGTGTGTGTGTGTGTGTGTGTGTGTGTGTGTGTGTGTGATTAATTTAGAAAAGCATATTAATTATTGTTCTTGTGTCCTTTTTGACTTCCTTTTGAAAAATAATTGCCTTCCACAAATTCTGCCAAGCAACAGCCTTGTAAAACGAATCTGACTTTTGTTGATCTGTGCCTTTCAGCCATTTCATGATATAAATTAAAATTGTTTTACCTTTGCACTACAAAGGATTCTTTTAGCACCGAGCGGTTGGCTCAAATTAATTGACAGTAGGTGATTCAAAAAATGTTTTATAATGAATTGCGGTCATCTGCACGGTCCGGTTCTTGATTCCGCGCTGCAAATTCTGCCTAGCAACAAGCGATCACATCCAGGAAAGTATTTTGTCGATGTTTTCCCACGCCTCGCTAGCAGTCTCAAGCTGTCTCGCCCTCAGCCGCAGGAGCTGACGGATGTTTTGGAGATCAGCAACATGGTGTTCACGAGTCTGTTCAGCTTGGAGATGCTCCTGAAAGTCGTGGCGCTCGGCCTCTTCGGCTACATCAAGAACCCCTACAATGGCTTCGACAGCATCATCGTCATCATCAGGTGGGGCGACCTCACAACGCACTCCCAACGTTTTCGAGCGGATTTTGATGTTCCCTTCGCATTTGAAGATGTGCTCTTGTCTCTTTCCCTTGAATATTTGATGTGCCCCCCACGTGTGTCAGTGTGTGGGAGATTGTGGGCGAGGCGGACGGAGGTTTGTCCGTGCTGCGTACCTTCCGTCTGCTGCGGGTCCTGAAGCTGGTGCGCTTCCTGCCAGCCCTAAGGAGGCAGCTGGTGGTGCTCATGAAGACCATGGACAATGTGGCCACCTTCTGCATGCTGCTCATGCTCTTTATTTTCATCTTCAGGTAAGAAATTCAACAATCTCTGGAGTTTAACTTTCCTGTCAGCTCATGTAAAAAAAAAAAAAAACCCTGCAGACAAAATGGCTGATGTTGTTTTCGTCATGGCTTCTTGAGACTTTTTTTTTGGCATGCTTGATCGACATGCCAATCAAATTTTAAGTGCCTACCAAATTTTAGGTTGTTTGGTAAAACAGAATTTGGGGGCTGATTTAAAAAAAATAAAAAATCTGGATGCCACCACAGAGGCAAAGGGCTGCTTCAAGCTACAATGACAGACTTCCTGTGTGTTTCCTGTCCGCTTCTTGAGTCTTTTTTTTTTTTTTTGGTGCCTACTGATGATAGACAAACCTACAAAAGTTCATGTTACTGAGGGAAACTCTCTTGAGGGGTTGAATTTTTTGCAGCAAGCCAAATGGTCGTTCAAACCAAAATGGCTGACTTCTTGTGTCTTTTTATAACGTGGGTTTTGGACACTGTTTTTGTTTTTTGTGGCTCCATTCATTATAGACATACCTACTAAATGTCATATTGCTAACTGGGGCCTCTTCTAACCAAAATGGCTGACTTTCTGTTTTTTTCTGACATGGATACCTGACATTTTTTTGTGGTTCTCCTTGTGATAGTTAAGTGCACCAAATTTGAACTTGAACTAAAATTGCTTATGGGGCTTACTTCTTGACAAAAAAAAAAAAAAAAAAAAATCTGAGGGATGGGAATGAACCAAAACGAACCACTTCAAATCAAAATGGCAGTATTCCTGTCTTGAGATTTTATTGTGGCTCTACAAAATTTTATGATGCAAAATAAAACTGTCTGAATGATTTTGTAGAACAGCACACTAGCCCAAATTACTGATCCAACCCCAAAGGGCCTATTTGAGGTTCAACTGGCTTCAGACTGAATTCTTCTTCCCGATGGTGCTACTGAGATAAAGGGCCGTCGGTTCTTTCGAGGAACGGGTCCGTGAGATTTTTTGTGGGGCCACTCATCCACCAAATTCCACATTTCTAAGTAAAACCTCCTTCAGAAATTCACTTTTTTAATTCTAGGTTTTTGATCATCCCTCGTGGAGGTCGTGTATGGATACGTGTGATCACGTGACTAAACAATGCACTCTTCCATGTTTTCATTTGTTGTGTGCGCAGTATCCTGGGGATGCATTTGTTTGGATGTAAATTTGGTTTGCGACAAGATAGCGGAGACACGCTCCCCGACAGAAAGAACTTTGACTCGCTGCTCTGGGCCACCGTCACCGTCTTCCAGGTTTGACGCGCACACACAGACGGACGGAGTTTGTCCTCGCCGCGATTTCATTTGAAATGAAAGAGTAGGACATTTAAACCGAAGCAGCTTGCGGTGTCATTGACAGCAGCCCAGATACTCATCTTGATTATTTTTAATCCAATCGAGAGCGGGCTTACTCTCAGCAACGTTTTCCCGTCCCCAGACACAGAAATGACCAAACGCAAGCCAGTGTCAAAGCAGCCAGATGATGCCCCCCCCCCCAAAAAAAAACAAAAGCAAAGGAGTCGCCAAAAGGCACTCGACAGGAGTGTGTTTAACGGCGACGAGCGTTATTGCCGTTGAACCCGCAGAGACAGATATTAAATTCTGCCTTAATGTGCCTCTTATTACAGCGCGGTGAGAAAGTTGTTTGTTGTTCTCACACTGTTATGTTGTAAGCAGTTTTTGCGCATCACTTTCTGGCCGGTACGCTCAAATGTCAAAGCAAACACACAATTGTCTTTGATGTTGACAAACACGTGTACGTTTGAGTTCTTTTAGTATTGATCTCATTTTTTTTCTTCCTTTCACCAAAACATATCATTTCACGAGGGGTGTGTAGACTTTTGTATCCACTGTACATTTTGTACCGGTGAAAGATTTCTTTCACTTTTTACAAGTCTGATGGTCTGAGTCAGAGACGTCAGAGACAACAACAACAACAACAACAAAAAAAAAGAAGTCGAGACCGCTCTCGAGTGCGACAACCCTGCCAAAAACACACAAGTTCAGTTTGTTAAAGACAAAATTATCTTTGGGCTTTGCAAAAACTACGTTAGGCTCGTTTATGATTCAAAATTATCTTTGATCTTTCCATAAGCACTCATGCTCGGTTGGTGAGAGTCCTCTTTGAAATTTGGAAAACATTCCATCCGTCACGTTAGTTGTGGACGACCCTGCAAGTGTCACCGTTGACATTTCTGTTTCCTTTCAGATCTTGACGCAGGAGGACTGGAACGCCGTCCTGTACAACGGCATGGCGTCCACCACGCCGCTGGCCGCCCTCTACTTCGTCGCACTCATGACCTTTGGCAACTACGTCCTCTTCAACCTGCTAGTGGCCATTTTGGTTGAAGGCTTCCAGGCCGAAGTAAGGGGCCACCTTGCGGCTTCGCCGGCGCCGTCGCGTGCGGCCTCAGCGACTCGATTTTGGCGGCTTTGGCGTTTGTCGTCTCGTCGGCGGCTGCGTAGGCGGTCTTAGCGGTGTTGATGTTAGCGGTTTTGGCAGCGACTACGCCAGTGTAGAAGCAATCTTGTGCTGTCTGTCTGGCATTGCGGCGCTGGAGGTGGAGTTGATGCTCTTGCCGGCGCCGTTGACAAAAGCATTGGCACTGGTGAGAGCAAAGCTGCCTTGCGCAGAATAATCTCCACAATCCCGCTTGCATGCCTTTGCGTCGCGCTTGCTCCACATCAAACATACGCACACACGCACACAGGCGCACCCTACGTACATACACAAAAGTCTCCAGGGCAGGCTTGTGTTTGGTATCGCTCTGTCATTCACAGCTGGTGAGCTTTTGTTGTTTAGATTTTGCTGCTTTATCTCCATCATCAGGCACTACACACCGATAGTCTCACACTGATACACACACGCACACACACACACACACACACACACACACACACACACACACACACACACACACA